TGGAAGATCAGCAGATTTTTCAGTATCATACTGTATTGTTTGTTCACTGGGTTTTAATTTGAAATATAACCTGTTATTGCCAGTATACTACTGTAAGTATGTGGATTTACTAAGCAAGAAAGCAGTGTGCTGCGCAGATATTCACATTATCCTAAATAATGCCTCATCAGAATGAGTTCTGATTCTTTTTATTTAAGCAAGACACCCGATTACCAATTTCCACGACAATTTCTTTCACAAACAGGATCTTTAGAGAAAATTGGACCTATATTGTTGATTTATGAAATGGTTTACCTAACAGATAAAGCTTCTAGCTATGCTTGTGACAAGGAATGTAAATTATAATTAAACTTTTTAAAGCATAATTAAACAATGCTTACATTTTAGATTTGTATCGGAAATATTCAGCTCCGAGTCTCAGAAGTTTGCAAGTGTAATCACCTTTCTAAGCTTGTCTTCAGTGAATTGATTATATTTACATATTTATTCATGATAAAAGACCAAAGATGTTCATCAGAATTCCACTGCTATGCTCTTACAAGTGACACAGCTAACAATGCATTGATTTACATTTGTAACTGCATAATGTTAAAACCTGCCCTTGGGAATCCCTACAGCATTGAAAGCAGAGGAAGTAAATTCACTTCAATCTATGTGATTATATTAATTTTTTCCATATAATCTCTACAGCTTTGAAAATTAAAGTATTACAAATCCTCCTCACTCATACTTTATAGAAAGATAATGTACTGTAGATGTCTGTAGGTTGAGATTAAATCAAAACATTGATTCATCCACCAATTGCAAACTATGCATTTGACAGACAATATCCATGGGTAGATTACAAGCTGCGGAGCCTCACAAATCAGTGATTTTCTTGTAAAGTGTTCACAAAACCCAAAAGAAAATGTATATTTCTTAAGAACAAATGGTCATCAAGTACAGTATCAGGTTAGCTGGAGTGGTACAGTATATTGTATGTGCAGTATAATGGGATGATAGTTGGGGTTAGAGCTTTTGCTGCCACTCATTTTGTTGCTATTGTTGTCTTCCCCAACTTCCTTTGGTTGTGTTTTTGTGTTGCAGTGCAATCCAAGACATCACAGACCTGAAAGAAAGCTGATTCTTCACCTGCTTTTTCTGTAGTTAAGAGGAAACTGAAAGAATATTCCCAAAATGGATAATATGGGCGATCAGTTCACACAATCACTGGAGAATCATACTGTGCTTGTTAAAACTAACGTGAGTCCATGGACTGCTGTGATAGGTTTTAATAGTAGTGTAGCAGAACAGAGTCGGCTCTGTGTGAACACTCCAGAAATTCTACATTTATGCTTTCAATGACGTACAGGTACAGTATCTCACTTTTATCATTTCAAGTGGAAAGAGAAGTATAAAGGAACTCCAAATTGGATGGCACTTGTAACCCTAAACCTTGTCTGGCCTCAAAGGCATGCTCATTTTTAAAACCACTGTAGCAGGGTTTTTCAACTCAATTGAAAAGTTGCTTCGAGAATGCACATTCATCTTTTCAGTACTGTACAAGAGTTATTGGGAATGGACTTGACTGTTTTAGGCTCATATTTCTTGATTTGAGGAACATTTTCAAATCTGATGAATATAGGGCTTCAGAGACGTATTGCAGAAAAGCTCAGTTTAAACCCCAACTATCGTTAGGGTTAGGATTCTCACAGTACCTAGACATTTTATAACCTCATGGCTGTGTTTTGGGCCCCAAGTTAAGTTTAGGAAGAGTGATACTTTTCTCCCATCTTCATTTTAATTTTTCATTTACTTTTGGCTATTCATATTGTATTCCATAGTATATGAATGGCATTCCAAAAGTGAGTGAAAATGTGTTCTACTGGGCACACTATTTCAATTTGATCATTTCAAGTGGATAGAGGAGTATAAATGAAGCCAAATGTGGATGGGTCTTGTAACCCTAACCCTAGTCTGGCCTCAAAGGCATGCTCATTTAAAACCACTGTAGCAGGATTTTTCAACTCAATTGAAAAGTTGCTTTGAGAATGCACATTCATCTTTTCAATACTGTACAAGAGCTTTTGGGAATGGATTTGACTGTTTTAGGCTCATATTTCTTGATTTGAGGAACATTTTCAAATCTGATGAATATAGGGTTTCAGAGACTTATTGCAGAAAAGCTCAGTCTAAACCCCAACTAGGGTTAGGGTTAGGATTTTCACAGTACTTAGACATTTTAGAACCTCATGGCTGTGTTTTGGGCCCCAAGTTAAGTTTAAGAAGAGTGATACTTTTCTCCCATCTTCATGTTTATTTTTCATTTACTTTCAGCTATATTTATATTGTATTCCATAGTATACAGTATGCACTACGTACACTTCAATTTTATTTAGCATGATAAGAGAAAATTGTTGGAGATCAGCTAGTCTCTTAAGACATTCTGTTTCTCAATTGCACTGAAATCTTTCCTTATTCTATAAATCTTTATTCTATGTTACCTCATAGAGTGAAAATGTTTTCTGACTTGTTAACAGTCTTGCTTCAAGCAGACTTCTAAATTACAACCTGTGATAGTGCAACATGATTAGATTTCCTTTTTAATGTTTTCACATTTTAATTTTGTATTTTACATTACTTTTCCATCTTAAAGCCACATTAACTTGAAGTAGCCTATATTATAACATTGGATTTAGTGAAATGATACCCTAAAGCCTAAATTATAGAACTCGGCTTTACATCTCAGACATGTTGAGATTAAATAGTAATACCTTTTGTGAGTACAGTAGGCTTTCAAGAGCTCCTCATGTTTATTATGGGCAAAACATATCATTTAGAATGAAAATGTATGCATAAGTGTCTTTGTAATAATAACTAAAACCAAAAATCTTCTATATCTCCTTCTATCTCATCTGTAATACTGAGGACTCACAGTTGGAAATCATTTCAGTTAAATTTGCTCATCAAGTGGACCGCTATGTAAGTCTTAGGGAACTTAATCACACTCAATAGGTGGAACATATGTATTTTTTGAGCATCAGCAGTTTACTCGAAGCCTCCAGTAGTGTTTTCTATTATTATAGCACATTTGTCTGTTATAATACAGCTTAGGTTGCCCAAGCTTGTCATTTAGCACTTTCATTCACATTCTTCAGAATCTTAAATTATGTAAAAAAAAGTAAATTATACTTGATCAGCCAATATGAAGTCCTGATTGTAGTAACTAATCACATTTACCATTCAAATCTAATCAACACATTGCCAGGTGTCCCTTGTCATTAACATCATTTCTTTATTTTACATGTCCTTAAAGCCAAAAGGTGCATTTTTCTACTTAAAAATACAGATCTATCGGGACAAACTGTGATCTTAAATGAAGATGGCTAAAAATTCAGTAGAATTACCATTCAAGGTACTTCAGTAATCCTCCCTTATTTAACCTAGGTGTGTCTGTGAGAGAGGAATGAGAGACAGGAGAGCAGAACTGCAGGCTCACCATCGTTCATTTTCTTTTAATTGTTAACAAGTGTGTGTGCTAATAATGGAGGGGGCTAGTGAGCAATAGGGAGAGAAGGTAGCAGATGCTAGCGTGTGTTATGTCTTATTCCAGAAAGGAATTTATATAGAGGGAGGAAACTGAAATAATGATTAATGGGAAAAAAACATTCAAATTCTATAATTTGAATAGATAAACACCAAATAGCATACACTCCAAAATATGCAGTACAGTAAATTGAAATTAGGAGAGAAATGTATAAATACTGTACATTTCATTACCCTATACTATTTGGTAATTAAACACAAAATGAAATACACAGTAAATAAAATCACTTAGGAGCTTCCCTGATATGATTGCAATACGGATTACGCACAACATTCAGGGATAAATCCTGAAATGATATGCAAAAGCAAAACGAGTCTGAGGTGTAAAACAGAGCCCTGGTGGAGACCACATTATGCTTATTCTGCACTTTTCATCCATGAAAGGAACTTGCTGCACTCCCTGCTCCTACACATATGCTATAAACTCTTCTATACCTCCAAAATGTTATGGGACCCACAGGAGTTTTTTAATATAAAAGTGACTGCATTAAGTCGAGTGTTGTGGGACAGGGTGTATTGTTGATTATTGCCATTGCGTCATGATCATGTTATTGCTTCATGATCCATATGCCATGCACGTTTAATACTGAGTAGGCATGGTGACCTTTTGGTGCTTTCCCTCTTTTAAGTGGGTTTTCTCTGGAAGCTTTGGTTTGATCCCACGTTCAAAGATCTGCTGGCTGGTTTATTGGCGTCTCTAAGTTACTGTGTGCTTGCATGCAGTGTCCCATTCAGGTTGTAACTCTGTGCTTCTGGGATGGGTGTGGGATGCCGTGACGTTTGTCAGGAGTGTTTGTCTTATAAAGGATGGATAGATAAAACTGGTTTGCATGGGAACTTGTATATAAAGCTTCAGTTTTGGGAAGCGAGCAAAAGAATGAGATCATGGGTACACGCGGATGAGGTTTCTCTGTAGGGCTGCTGGGCTTACTCTCCATAACAGGGTGAGCAGCTCAGCAGTCTAGGAGGAACTTGGAGAGTTGCTGCTCCTCTGGATTAAGAGAAGCAGTCAGAAAAGGTGGTTTAGATGGAGTTGTACTAAAGTTTTAAGGCCCATAAGGAAGAGGCCTTGGAGCAGACCTAGAACACGCTGGAGGCATTGTCTCCCAGCTGGCCTGGAAGCACCTTGGAATCCCTCAGGAAGAGCTGGAGAAAGGGAAAGTCTGATCTTTCACAGCCTGTTGCCTCCGCAGCCCTCAGCAGGAGTAAGCGGTTAGAAAATGAGATGAGATGATATCTGCAGATTAAAGCTGTTGGCTTATGAGCAAAACATTATTTCTATGTGAGATCTTCACCATTTTCAATGAAGAAGAAAGGTATTTTGATTTATAGGATAGAGTTTTTTCATCCATTATATTTTTTAACAGAAAAGCACATTGCAGTACTTGTTGAACAACCCGGCTTGTATAGAGTACCTTAAGCTCTTGGCTCCAATGCAGATCACATGCCTCCTTCATCACACGATCTCTGGAAACAAATGAAAAAAAAAACATCTTAAGAGATAGAATGTATTCTCTTTATTTTCTACCTGATGTTCATTTTTTCTTCCTTTTGAAATGTGCAAAGAAACATTCATATTATCCATTATTCTTCAAAATGAAAGAAGGAAACATTGGGCAATTAGTCATAGCTGATATAAGTGTCCCTGAACTGTCGCCAGTGACAGTCATATACGAAATCCTCATTAAATTTGATAATTTTCCACCAGATAACATACCATACATCCTATTTCTCTGCCGTCTAAACTAAAGAGTAAAATAAATTAAGATATTTAATCTTAAACAACGCTGACTAGTTTTAAATAAAGGAGGCTTTGAGGTGACATGATTCAAGTATTCAATATCCTTGAGTTGACAAGGGCAATCCAATATACTTCCTCAAGATCAATAGTGAAGCCCTAGACCAGAGGACACAAATGAAAACTGAGAGCAAGAGAACGTAAGACTGAGGACAGGGGCACTTTTTTACACAAAAGGTTATTGAATTCCTTCCTCTTCTCAACAGAACAAGCTACATGGCCGAGATGGCATCACCTCATTTATAACTTTTATTATGTTCTTATATTCTTGCACAATATGAGAGGGGTCATAGAAGTGTGCACGTCATTATATGAAAAGCAACAATCTTCAAACAAATGTATACATAAACCATTTTAATTCCCTGTGGAGTCCGATACTATCCTGCGTGGGGGATGCTCAACTATGTTCCTCAGCCCTCTTGTCTTCTATAAAAATGATCTTGAGAAGGTGAAAGTTGAGAGCTGCAACAAAATAAGTAGAGGATAACTCCATGCGGGAAAGAAAACATTTTTGGGCATTTTCAGGTGTGCGTCTACAAATTAATCAGGAACCAAAATGATCCTTAAATTTGGATCTCCATCTTCCACCAGCTGTTGACAGACTGATTTCGTTTTCGAACCTGTTCGTTCATTTACGGATTTCAACATTTTACACGTCTCCCCCAGATTTCCATTCATATGGGCAGTCTTTCACACCCGCTGTGTCTACTCTTGCATGATATTCCTTTTGTTCTCCTTTACTTTATATCAATGCAACATTCATAAGCGTCTCATCCTCTTTCAAACCTGAAGAAGGCTCAACATCTGAAATGTGCATTTTCTCTGCTTCTCAGAGAGGCATTAACCTCTACTAGTTCCATATCTTGAAAAGGCTGATTAAGAGAGGCATAGATAGAGAAACTCTGATGGCTTAATAGTGGATAGTAATCTAACATACTGTAGACAGCCATGCTGGTGGCCAAATCTGAGAAAGTCAAGTGCAGGGATGATTAAAAGGGATAACATTTTTGATAGCATAGTTATACCTTGGGGAACACTGCATTAAAGAAATTGAGGATGAAGGGCATTTAAGAAGTAAAAAAAAAATCAAATTAAAATAAATATATAAAGCAAATCCCATTTCATGGATGCAAGAGGGAATGAAAACTCAATTCTGCTTTCTCAATCAAACTAATGACCCTATAATAATATCTAAGGCCTTGAGACTTTTGCCATATCCCAGGTGTTCTAATTTGGACAAATATACTTTCACTGTTAACATCATGACCTTCAAGAATTAAGCTTTTATTCCAAACGTGTTTGACAAAGATCAAATCACAACAGTAACTAAATATTTACTTGTATTTTAAGTGTATAAATGCTGATGTTTTATATGAAATTGATTTAAATTATGAGGTTGGTTACAATACCAAGTAATTATAATTAACGTATTTAAACTGTACAATTATTAGCATCTTTGTAATCCCTGAGTGATCAATGTTTGTATCATGGCAGATTCATTCACATATGTTTGGTTTAAGTTGCACATTTTTTTTGTTCTATGAAAGAAAATTGCATATTGTAACTTTTGAATGTCTGTGTATATGTTGCCATTTGTTAGGATTGATCGATTCCTAGAAGTCATAGAACACTCAGAATTTACTGTTGTGACTTCTAATTGTTTCAGAACGTTCAAGCCATCACCACTACAACATTAATTCGGATTATGAACATAGTCACATGCCGATAAAAGGAAAGACATTGCAGTGGTAGTATATGACCTGGTCAATAATTGAGCAATAATTGACTCTTGTTTTAAAAGATCAGCAACTCTAACCAAGTTCCAATAAACAAATGTTTTACCAGCTTCACCCTGTGTTTTCTTCCTAACTTAAACTGACAAACCCACTGATGCATGCCCTTTTACTATAAATCAGCATTCACACCTGCTTAGTATAGTAAAGGTCATACAATGCTTTCTAATGAATTTAGAGGTAGTGTTTGCTATCTGAATAATCTTGTGTCATGTCATTTAATACACTAATGAAAAAATAAATGAAGTGGATAACTGTGTTTTTTTCAAAGACTGGAAAAAATAAATATGCTGAAAGATATTTTGCAATGGATATAACTATTCACTATTACTACCATCATGAGAAAGGTCTGTTCATTTGTAATACAACGTCCTCTCATATTTTACACTGCACTGTAATTACACTGTATTTGTTTCAGTCCTGAACTGCAATTCAATGATGCCTTTGTAATGCTGCTATTAATATAGTAAAGGTGCAGCATTTGTTGCTAAAAATGAATGTATACAATATGGTCGCACATTAAGACATACAGGGCAACTCTTTGTAAGACACAACTCGTAATTTAATGTATTAACATTAGCATTTTTCTCAATATGTTCCTTTCAGAATTTTAGTGTCCCCTTGCGTTACCAATGACACCACTGAGTTATAAGAACTTAAATACTGATATGTGCTGGGGGGTATGGTATCAATAAGGATTGACAGCCACCAATCAGGAAATCATTTAGCCTATACGGGCCTACAACCATGATCAAATGAAGACAGCACAGTTGCAAGCCACAAAGAAGACATGGGAAGACCACCTGTTGAGTGGCTCCCCTAGAGTCAATTAAACAACACAAGAATCTGAAATCTTTTACTAATGCTGAAGTGGAATGTGAAATGGCCGAGCAGGTAAGCTGTGGTGGGCTAGAACCAGTAAATTGGGTTGATATTCCATAACGTTCCCTAACCACATACAGTATACTGAACTCTGACTCTATGATTGGACAGAAGCCTGTGTGAAAAATGACCAAACAAGGTATTAAAATAGCAAGCTAAAAGGTGAATGTCTGGTTCTGGAAAAGCATCTTGCTATCGGAAGTAGTCAGCCATAATACTCTCTTGTATCCTCCAGAGCTGAAGAAATAAGACCCTGAGTTCCACCTTCCAACACACCGAAGCTCCAGGAGTTTGGGAGGATTCCTACCCTTTGAGGACTAATTTAACAAGAGTTTTTTAGCACTGAACAGACCAAAAGTGAAGTTGGGGATAATGAGCTACATTTTTACATTTGAATTACGTATTTCTTTTTAGGATCTATCAGAGTGAGCATTTATCTCTATATATCTGGGACGGTGTTAAGTACTGACCTTTCATTATAACAGAAAAGGTACTTTTAGAACAATCCTGCACTTGTAAAAACTTAATTTTTCTGTATAATAAATTGTCTAAAATCACATGTATCGAATTATTGAAAATATCCTCATAGAAGGATTCCCACAAGAATAAATTAACTTCACCAAAGGAAGTTTTATTTTGTTATTAATTGCTACTCACAAGCATTGGCTAATGGGATGGAACTCTGCAACAATTAAAAAGAGAAATTAATCAGATTTACTGTCATCACTTGTCTCAAGGGAAGCTACTCAAAGCTTGAAATATGGTAAGAAAAAGAGCATATCTCTTCACAGCTCATCTCTTACTAGCAAGGTTATATGAATTACAGCTTTAATTAAGTCAAACAATAAATAAATCCAAAGATTCATAAATGTACATTAACAAAATGCTAGCACGTTTTTCTCAGAGCAGACAGCAATCTTAATTTACTGATTGCATGCATATGATTATTGAAACTAGCAGATGTCTGGTATGACAACTAAATGCTTAATTTTAATTTACTTTAGGAAAAATGTAGATATAGGGCATACATTTAATTAAAACATATGCTTGTAAGATAAGCAGGCGACAAGTGTTCAGCAGCTAGTTATGCAGTACATTATCAAGAATTTACCTATACAACTTTGTGTGGTTTAAATTTATGAAATGTTCCAAAAATAGTGTCTAGAAATTGCACAAATGATATTAAATTGAAATTATCTGCCTAGACGCTGATAATTTCCTTTTAAGAATTTCCAGGTTGAAGAAGGATTCTGTAACTTCAGTATATGAAGTTTATTTACTGTACATAGGCTGCCAGGTTGTATTATAATTGTTTCTAAAAAGCAGTCTAAAAGGGTTGCAGGGAAGCTGGTGCCTATCTGGGCAAGCAAGGCAGGACAGACCCTGGCAGGGACACCAGTCCATCATGGGACAGACACAAACACACGTACAGTATACACTTGCACTAATACCCAGTTTTCCTAAAAGCCAGATTACCTATCTGTATGTTTCTGGTCTATGGGAGGAAACCATAGCACCCACGCAAACACAGAGAGTATCCAGATAACTCCCCCAGGTCAAAAGCAAAAGATAACACTAAGGTCAATTGACATGCTTCGAAATCTGTTCCTTAACATAATTAGTGCCTGAAACTGACTTAAGTGTTCTATAGGTTAGGAGCGTGACAGTTAAAAGCCTATATGAACATAATCCCATCACCAAGGGTTAAAGGCTCAACAATTCCCCAGTAAGTGAAATAAATTCTTTACTTTCCCTTCTCAATATATTGGCTTCTTGAGCCCTAATCATATACAGTAACCTCTTTGTGTTAAAACAGCTGATACTGTCAGATTCACAAATCCCCTCACTGAGAAGCCAATAGCAATCAGCACACCTCTAGTACCTCTGGGAATTTATCCACAACAACACATTTAACACGACTAGAATCAAATTCTCAGAGTTTTGACAGGTTAATAATGGACTTTTATCACCCTCTGAATTAGCATGTACTTGAGGGGAAGTGGAAAATTGTCTGATCATACATCAATAAGTGTTCACATTAAAAGAAAAATCAGAGCCTAGCTACTGATGTCGGTACTAAGTCTATATTTACTGTTTCTATAGGCACAAATTCATGATGAGATTGATTTATCCTTGCTTTAATATATAGAGTATCTTTCTGATGCGTTAATTTTTGGCATCCATACTGTATATTTATTTTTTTTTGTATTGGTTTCACAGAATTTTAAAATAATGCTCTAATGTCTGGTTTTGTCATTGGAAATGGGTCGTATTCTCCAGAGTCTCGTTCGATTTGCCTTAGTTTTGTAGATACTACAATAAAAAGGGAAAATGCACACAGTTTCACCAATCAATAAAATAATCAAGCTATAATTTACATGCTCTCTGCACTACTATTAAGCATCAATTATCATTCATTTATTAAAGATAAAGGAATTAAGTGAACTGCTCACTGTAAAAGACCTTCACCTCTTTTTGGAAACTAGCCATTATTATGCCAGAATGATCCTTTTTTTTTCTTTATGGAACTCAGAAATTTGATTTCTAACTCTTACAGTCGAACAAATACTACTATGAAAATGACAAATACAATGATGCAAGAATTTGCTTGCATGTTATACTAACATTGTGAAGATAATTCCAATGAATATTATGCCTGTGAAGAAGAAAGGACAGGCCTCATAGCATCTTAATTATTTTACACAAATACCTTTAAAAAAAAAAGCACAGACTGAAAGTTGTCTCATATTTAAATTACTACTACAGTATAACATAATAAAGAAATGTTTTAAACCTCAAGATTTATGTTAATTTTAAAATATAGTATTTGATTTATTATTTTTTCATTTTATTTTATGTTAATGAAGAGTCATGCATTTTAAATGCAATATAACCACAAAATGTTTTACCTATTAAATCCTAATTGTATTACATTAAAGAGATTACCATTTACAGTAGTTTATTAGACGAGTGACTTGTATTCACTCTGATTTCCTACAGTGAAAAATGTGTCTTCTTTGCTCCAACACAATGTGTTACTGAGATTTACAGTGCCATTTCTGCTTCCAGCAATCACTTTTCCTCTTTTCTGTTGAATGACACAAAGCATACGCCTGTGTGATTGAAATCATTATGAAGATCAATCAGAGTTGTTCTTTAAAACTTTTTATTGACTCGTTTGTCTCTAGGATCCTAATTAAACAAAGAAAAAAGGGTAATTGTAGGATTGCTTTTTTGAAATGCAAACTTCACTGATGCTTCCGAGGATAGCAGCCTATTCTCTGCAGACTGCTATGATACAAAGGGATTAACGTTTTCCTTTAAGATTCCCTTTACATCACCTGACAGTTGTAATTACAACAGATTCCCTAATATATCCCACACTTATTGCACAGTTAGTGATAAATGGTTTCATATACAGTACTGGAAGTCATTTGTGAAATAAAACTGGTGGGTATATAATGAAAATTACATGTTATAAATGGATAAGTTACAAATTACAATATTTAATGTGCCACTCACAATAGCAGTAAATGAAGAAGAAAAGCTAAACTATCCACGAGTCATATAAGGCTCCTCAGAGTGAATTCACCACATGACAGATGACAATTCCGAAGACATCCTTTGAACAGCCTTCCTGCGACACCTATTAATGTTTTTTTTCTCTAGCAATATAATATTAGCACAAAAAAGAATGAAATTAAAATAATGAAGCCAAGCTAAAACCATCACAAGATATTAGTCGGTACCCAGTAAAAAAATCAAAACATGGATACACTGTAAAAAGATTCCTAAATTTTAGGTCCCAAAATATTTATGGAATACATCCTTGAAAAGAGGCACCAGACAGTACTACAAAAACGAGACTGTAGGTGGTGAAAGCAGTGCATTACGTTTTCGGCCATCTGTTTCCAGGACCATTCCCCTGCTTTACATAAAATTATGATGGCAAAAGCTATATTAACAAAGAATTCCTAATTTGATATAATCACATTTTTAGGCAAATCTAAATTAGCAACCACTATATATTTTTGCAACTGTGAAGTAATGACATTATTTTTCACTGAAGGTTATTTTTCACTGAAGATTTTGTCAATTTCCTCCCATTTCCATATGAGACTACCTTGCTTTTTGATCGACAGGGAGCATTCAAGATGTTGCAATTACCCCATATAACTAGGGATCTGATCTTCAGATGCAGCTCATTATTATGCACTGCTATGGGGCTCACAAAATGATGCTTAAGGGGGGATTGTTCTGGACATCTGTGGTGCCTGGAAGGTTAACACAACAATCTGTGTCACCTCCAGCATTCTTCTGCAGCTTGGCCATGCATATTTTCCAGCACTGTAGATTTTTTTAGCCCACTAAACACTCATGTTTTTTTTATTAAAAAAATAATTACCGTAGACTGCTCCCTTAAGAAACACTGAATTTTAACAATTCAATTTGATTACCAACTTTAAAGGAAAAACATGCTTTTTTAATAGATACAGGACATTATGCAGTATGTTAATTTAGGGCCCATTTACTACCAGTTTCATGCCTTCTCTGTGATAAGTTTTTTTCAGTTTCTCAAGATGGTTTATAGCTTTGACCCTCAGTGGGAAGTCTAGCAGAACTAGCTTGGTGCAAAGCAGTAGGAAATGTGGATTGGATCAAATTGGCCTATCACTTTCATAGTAAGGAGCCCTTTCAGATGTGCATTCAACCTTGTGCAGTATCATGAGAACTTAGTTATTATGTGTCATTTTCAGCCTCTGACAGCACATTGTCTAGATGCAGAGGGGGATGAAAGTGTTGTGTAATAACCAGAGTTCTCTCTGCTAGTGCTATGAAAGAGTTGTTCCAGCAGTGGTAGTGTGGGGTATTGTTTTGGGGGCTCTAGACTTGTGAGTGAAACGGTGTGGGTTCAAATCTCTAGAGCAACACTGTAAGTTGTACCCATGAGCATGGCAGTTTATTCAACTTTCATTAATGAAATGCCCAGCTGTAAAGAAGAATACAAATTTATATTGCTTTGGACAAAGGGGTTAGCCACATTATTTTTGAAAAAAACAATTTTGTTTTAGAATGGAGGAGGGTAGCCATAAAACAACATGTTATTTTGTGTTGGGGGTAGCTGATTACAGTTAAATCATTAAGTCAGTCTTCATGGGAGATGTGCCATAGTCATGGCCAGGGTAAAAGAGCATACAGAAAAGGAGATATATGAGGAGGACTAAGTCACAAAAGGAGAGTGAAGGGTGAATAAACTACTTTGATGGGAAACCTCCATAATTGGAGCGCTTAAAAACTGATTTTTGGCTTTGTACAGGTATTTGTTGGAAATACTGATTTCCTATTTTCAGGCTGGAAGAAATCACCGTTTAGTAACGCACTATTTTGAATAGGGAACAATGTTCCCTATAATCCGTGCTCGCACGCACAGGTTATGAAATCAGCGTAAACACAAAATTGAACAGCGCACAAAAAATAAATAAATATGATAATAAAACAAACACGGTTGTCAATTGAAAAACACTTAATTGACCACATGAGACTGGCTGCGAGAGGCCCAACTTGGCTTTTTTTTTATTGTTACTCGATAATTGATATCTATGCTCTCGCAGTCTCATACCTCACTGTTCATGCTCGCTCCACACTCGCTGAATCGCTGTCCCGGTCTTTTCGATCTCTATGCATCTACGAGAATGACTACTGTATGTTAACA